TTACAAACATCCCATTCATAAATTTTATCGTTGAAATCTTTTATCGATAACAAGTTTCCGGATAAGTCATCTGCTTGTAATCTTTCGAACTGATCAAAATTTTCAAGAAAAGGCACAACATTTGATGTATTCGTGTCTCTAGCTGAAAATCCGTTACAAAGCTTTGAATATTTGGTGCCAATATAGGCTAATAATACAAAGTTCATTAATAAGGATAGCATTGCTATTATTTTTCTTTCTTTTAGCTGCCTGAATGTTGCCATGTTGAAATATTGCGGATGAGTCAATTTCTGTATGAAATATGCAACGTACTTGTATGTATGTTTGTTTAACGAATACCAGATTCTACTAAAGGTTGACAAAAGTCAATGATAGCATAATCATCGGAATCTGAAATTAAGCATAGTGTAGAACAAGGTATCATATGGGACTTGAACTGCACTGTAAAAAAAAGGGCAGAATAATGAACGCTTGCCCTTGATTTTTTTTTCTATAAACCCTTGAAGGGTTTATACGTGTGTCATATACCCTTCATAGGGTATATGAGTCGAAGGGTTTGTTATCGCAAGGGTATATAAATTTAAAAAGGGTATATGAAACTGTTTTAAGGGTTTTTTATTTCATATTTTTATTCAAAGTGTTTATTAATAAACGGATAGACGTAGATTAATATACGTGTTTCCAAAATCAGTTTATTATTCAACAAGCAGAGGTAGATTATTATACGATTCATGCAAAACAAATATTATTCTACGGCTAGGGGTTGATTATTCTCCACTTTCACAAGAAGCATTTATTATAATACCGTTGAGGGTAGATCAATGTACGATGGCACAAAAAGGGTTGATTATTCTACGATCAAGGGTTGATTATTCTTCACTTTCTGAAAAAGCGTTTATTATAATATCGTTGAGGGCATACCAGTATACGAGTTCATCAGAAGGGTTTATTATTCTAGGATCCATGGTTCATTATTCTCCATTTTAACTAGAACCGTTTGTCATACACTAAAAACAATCGGTACTCTACCGAACCTTAACAGTTCCGCATTTATCCACTGAACGATTTTAAGTTCCGTAGAGTGAAAAACGTTCCGCGGTCTCCTTTCAGAACTATTTTAAGTTCAGCAGATTTCATCAGGTTTCGCAATTTTGCGCCTGAACTCTTCCGAGGTTCCGTAAAGTGGTTTGTGGTTTCGTACCTCATGTACAAATCCTCTGGTAGTTTTGGGAAATGGCAGAAGGTTTCGTCACATACCCACTGAACCACTGTTGGCTTCGTGGACGAACCGAAGCTTTCGTATTATTTATGCGGAACTTATCGACACTTTCTGGTCGCCATTAAGGTTTAGTAATATGTCCACAGAACCATTGCTGGTTCCGTAAACTGTAAAAAGGTTTGGAATATTTTCTGGAATACAATTGATGGTTTCGTAGAACATTCGAGGGTTTCGTACTTTTTGAGCTGAGCGATTCTTACTTTATTATCCATGTCAAAGTTTCGTAGATAGTCTCGAGTTTTGGAATCTTTTCCACAAACTGACTCATATTTGTTTTCACGATCACAACTTTTCGTATTATTTCTACGCAGCTTTTTCCGACTTTCTGGCGGAGTTTCAGGTTTTGTCGGATACTGACCAAACCAGCTTTCGTTTCGTAGACTATCTCAAGCTTTCATAATTTCTGCCCCTTAACTTTTCACAAATTTATTATCTATGTCAAAGTTTTCTAGAGCTTATCGAGGTCCCTGAGTCCAAATCCGTTATCAGTTTTTCTCTCCGAGCTTTCATGGATGAGAAAATTGGTCGATCTCGAGTCCAAATTTCACATGGTAGACTTTTTATTTCAACTCTGATCTAAATTCTTGGATAAGTTCGATGTGATGAAAGTGAGTAATTATTTTGTTTGTTATTGATTCATTCATATAGAAGGTTTCAGATAAATTTGATATCATAAAATAATAGAAATTTGTTTGGTTTAATTATAGAAGGCCGCAAAGATGCAATTTCAGGTGAGTTTGTTCGTGCATAATTTAATATATTTTATTTGTTTTTTGTTCTAGGTTGATGCTTATATGCAGTTTTAGGTAAGTTCTCTCTTAGCAAATCAAAGAATTATTCGTTTTTGGAATTCTTGGTTAATATATATATCGAGTTTTCGGTTAGTCTGATTTTGAGAAATAATAAATTTTCGCTAATTTGTTTATTTTAGATTGTGTCAAGTAAAAGAATAGTGAAGTAAGTTTGATCTTATAAAATGATTATATTTATTCGTTTCCGTATTTTAGGTTGTTTCAATTATGGAAATCCCGGGTGGCTTTGGCTTTAACCTTGTACTGTGGCCCGCGGTATGCATACTATTCGAGTATTTCTCGAAACGCGAGTATGGTATACATCAAATGAATCAAAAATAAGATGAAATAGTCTTTAGAATGATTTTCCTTGAATGCGGAAAATGACTCTATAGACTATTTCATCTTACTTTTGATTCACTTGATGTATACCGTACTCGGATTTTGAGAAATACGCGAATAGTGAGCATACCGCGGGAGGCAGCAGAGGGTTAAATGAAATTTTTAACGGAACCTTTGTTGGGTACGAAACCTTTTTTTGAATGATTTCTGAAAGGTTTTGTACGAAAGCATTGCTACGAAACCATTTTTTTGAATTTTCGTGAAGGGGGTTGATACGAAACCTCACTTTTACAAAACCAAAAAAAGGATCTGACGGTGTACCGAGGATAAGAACCTTTTTTAGGTTCTGTAAAAAACCTATTTTTTTAGAGTGTAATACGTTATTAATTTTTGATTCTTGCTCACTCTTTAATAATTTTTCTTTTAGATCTTTGGGTTTGATCTCTTTTATCAATTAATGGAATTACGATCATGGATTCAATAGAAATGTTTCGCTTATGGGTGAGTGGCAGTTACTTTGAACTTTCAGATGCGTTTCATAATGCACGTCAGAGATTGTTGTCAATTGGTAGCTGCAATGTACTGATTTCTAGTAAGCTTTCAATTTAATCAGAGTTTTTTGAAGAGAAAACCGTCATCTATTAATAACTCATGCTTTTATGTTTAGGTTTCGTCAAACAAAGTCTTCAAACTAAATACAGAATGTGATGAATTTACAAATGCTATTTGCTTAATATCTTATGTGAGAATATCGCAAACGGCCAACGTCAATTGAAGTGAGTAAAAGTTTTCGTGCGACATCGCAGAGAATTCATCTGAAGTAACCACTTAAAATCATTCCTCCAGGTTACTCACTCAGTTTTATGCTAATTTAGCTATCCTGTTTGTGTTGATTAGTCGCTGCTAGAAGGAGATTCCTACGATTCCTTTTAATCATCTTGATTTTTATCTTGCGTGGTCATGCTAGATTTTGATTCTCGATCGAATTATCTTCAGGTTTTCAAGTTTCGCTCGTTTTTCACTGAGTGAGTATTGGATTTTAAGACAAAATCGAGTAAGAGTTTCGGCAAATATGAAGCTCAAAACGTAGAGAAAATAGTGGATATGGTTTCTTCCAGCCTCTAAGAGTCTACCACCCCCTTGTTAATTATTATGAAATGCCATAGATAGCGAGTGTTATATACATATAATTATAAAAACTACAAATTATTCAGTATATCTCTCTTCGTAGACATTTGTCTATCATCAACCAAGGTGAAAAAAGAAAGTATTCAGTTGTTCTACAACCCCTGGAAGTAGTACATNAACCTTATCATAAACCCTTGAGGCAGTTTATGGGGTCCTTAATCGCCTTCTTAAACCTCATCATAAACCCGTGATGCAGTTTATGGGATGCACAATCGCCTTCAGATACCTTATCATAAACCCTTGAGGCAGTTGATGATGTCCATAATCGCCTTCATAAACCTTATCAGAAACCCTTGAGGTAGTTGATGAGCTCCATAATCGCCTTCATATACCTTATCATAAACCCTTGAGTCAGTTTATGGGGTTCACAATCGCCTTCATATACCTTATCAAAACCCT